GCTCCTTCCAGAACTTACTCGGGAATTTGGGATCTTTGTCTGAGATGAGTGTAGCGGGGATGCTATGGATGGTGATGATGTGGTCGAAGAAGAGGCGAGCAGTTGCTTCAGCTATAGCTGTGGCGTTGGTCTGTATGAAGTGACCCATTTTGGAGAACTTATCGATCACTACGAGAATGGAATCGTGCCCCCATGAGGTCGAAGGAAGTCCTGTGATGAAGTCGAGGCTAACGCCCTGCCATGGCTGCTCCAGTACGGGTAGAGGCTGAAGTAACCTTGTTTTTTTCTGCTTGCTGCTCTTCATCCGCTGGCACGTGTCGTAAGAGGTGACGAACTGCTGCACGTCTGCTGCCATCCCGGGCCAGTAGTAATACTTCGCTATCCCTGCTTACGTCTTGTTGCACCCAAAATGTCCCGCGTAAGGTACGTCGTGAAACTCCTCCAATAGGATCTGCCGTAGCGGGGCCTAATTCGGTACCCAAATCTTTCCTGAACCCTTCCTTACGGCAAAGTCTTTCTCCCACTGTAATAGCTTCTTAATCTGTGCTGTAGCGATCTCCGCGTCCACGTAGTACTCATGTTGGAATAGACCCTTGAACAGAGGGTTCATCCCGTCGAGCTGGATGCCTGCTACATGTCCGGGGCGGCTCAACGCGTCTGCCTTGTTGTGTAGCCCGGGCTTGTAGACGATGTCGTAGTGGAAGTGAGTTTCTAGGAAGTCCACCCACCGCACCTGTCGTCGTGAGAGTGTCGACTGTGACTTTAGGTATTTGAGACTGCAGTGGTCAGTATAGACTGTAGTCTTGGCTCCCTCTAGGTAACACCTCCACGCCTTGAAGGCTATGACTATCGCTAAGGCTTCCTTGTCATGGATGGGGTACTTTAGTTATGCTCCGTGTAGCTTCTTACTGAGGTAGGCGATGGGCTGCAAACCGCGTCCGTGATCCTGCATCAGTACTGCTCCGACTGCTTGGTCACTAGCGTCTGCTTCCACGACGTAGTCCTTGTCTGGATCTGGTAGGATGAGTACTGGCGCTGTAGTCAGTGCTGTCTGTAGCTGCTCCATGGCTTGCTGATGATGAGTATCCCATTTGTAGGGCGTATCCTTTTTCAGTAGGTCGGTCAGTGGCGCTGCTATCTTAGCGTACTCAGGCACGAACCTGTTGTAGTAGTTGGCGAAGCCTAGGAACTGCTGCAACTCCTTCACGTTCTCTGGTACTTTCCACTTCTTGACTGCTTCAATCTTCCGTGGGTCCACGTGTACGCCCTCGGCACTCACCATGTGCCCGAGAAACTGCACCTTCTTTAGTGCAAAGTCGCTCTTCGACAGCTTCACGTAAAACTTGTTTTTCCGCAGGATCTCGAACACCTTCCGCAGATGCTCCACGTGCTCCTTCATGTTCTTGGAGTAGATGAGAATATCGTCCAGGTACACCACGACGCACTCGTCCAGCAGGGGCCGTAGGATGTGATTCATCTCCGTCTGAAACGTTGCTGGTGTGTTGCAGAGTCCAAACGGCATCACCAAGTATTCGTAGGAGTCGTATCTCGTACGGAACGCCGTCTTGTGGATCGAGTTGTCCGCCATCTTGATATGCTAGTAGCCCGACCGTAGGTCCAACTTCGAAAAGACTGTTGCACCATGCAGTTGATCCAGAAGGTCGTCGATGCGCGGTATAGGGTATTTGTTTTTTGCTGTCTGTTTGTTCAGTGCGCGGTAGTCGATGCACATCCGTAAATTGCCGTCTGGTTTTGGAGTGAAGAGAACTGGTGCACCGTAGGGAGAGGTGGATAGGCGGATCAATTGTCTGTCTAGAAGATACTCTATTTTTTTCTTCATGTCTGTCAATTCGGTCGGACTCAGTCGGTATGGTGCACGTGAGAAGGGTTTCGCACCTGGTTCCTCCACGATATCGTGCTCGTGGGTGTGTGCCGGAGGTACGTCTGCAAATAGGTCGTCGGGCATTATATCCTTGTACTGCTCCAAGACCTCCTTCACTGTTGCAGGTAGCTCCGTACTGAGCTTCTCCTCTGCTGCAGCCATAACCTGTGCTTAGTAACCCGTGTTACTCTCGTTCTTTGTCCGTTCGAACCATACCTGTGTCGTTTCAGGAACGCTCCGTGTATCCGTCTAGCTTCGCAATTCCACTCGTTTCCCGTCGTTATAGATGCACGCTGTCCTGTTGACCCAGTTGATCTCGGGGCTGAACCGCTTCAAGAAATCTTGCCCCAAGATGAAATCTAAACCCTTGATGTTCGTAATCGACAATGTCGGCTTCCACCTTAGCGCCCCTATGGGCAGCTGCAATGAAGCTTCGCCGTGGATGGGAAGTTTTGTACCGTCCAACATCGTTGATGCCAACTTGGTCTCCTCGGAAGATTCTCCAATTTTCTCCAACGTCCCGCGGTCGAACACCGAGTGAGACACACCGCTATCTACCAGTGCCTGGAGGCGTTGCCCTTTGCAGATCACCTCGAGGAGTAGTGGTTGTTGCTACTCCGTGTAGCCTCAATGGTCTTGCTTTTAAGATCGTAGGGTATGTCGAATAGATCATCCCTCGATCTTGCGCTCGAAGCTGCGACTCCATATCAATTTTCAACTTAGTAGGGTTAGAAAGATTTATCCGAGGCCGATTCAGCTTCGTCTTGGCCTGGAAACTTCCCCTAAGCCTTTGCAGCTGTGTAGGCTTCACCTGTGGGCAATGGGGAGCCTTAACACTGTGCTGCGGGGAGAGAATATTAACTCTTTGGAAAGCATGATCCTTTTCAACGCTCCGGAGTGGTTTGCCCAACTTCTCAGGTATCTGAATAATGTCTAAAGGCTTTTTCTTGGCCTTGAAATCTCCCCTGAATTTTTCACAGGCTTGAAAACCTCGAGAGGTAATATTCTTACTCTCGGGTGTGTTCGGCTGGAGTTTCCCGGTCGGTGCAGAGTCTGGTTTCGCGGAGCCTCCATTTGTCTCGGCGATTTCCCCTGTTGCCGGCGGGGCGTGGCGTTTTAAATTAGCGCCATCGTGTCCTCCTTTTTTTCGCCTGCTCAGAAATCATCATGCCTTTTGACTTCGGAGGTGCTACACTGTTGTTGCCCTTCAGCTCCGCTCGTGCCTTCTTCTTTTTCCAACACGTCAAGAGTCGATGTCCTGCTGTGCCGCAAAATTCACACTTCTCATATTTTGTCGGCTGCTGCATCGTGTCAACCTTGTCGATATCCATCGGGTCGGCGGTCGTGGGTGGTGCCGATCGCTTCGTGTCGAATGATCTGTTCGGCACGTGGCGTCATGTCTCGGGTTGATCTCGCGTTAGCACATCAAATTTCTCTGCTGCATACACCATGTCGCAATAGTTTTTGTAATTCGCAGCAATCATCTGTCGGCGGACTTCCATCTATAGCCCTTCAGTATACGCTTCTATTTTTTCCCCTTCGATCAGGACAATTATTCTGTTGAAGAGGCTCTCCATCTGCTGCGTGTACTGTGTTACACTACCGAACTGTTTATGCCGATGAATCTGCTCCCGCGCCATGTAGCTGGAGTTGATTGGTTCGAAACGTTGAATTAAAGCTTCCCAAACTGCGTCCATGACCCCTCGCCTCACACTTCGTTGCTATTGTAAATCCACTCGAGCGCCGAGCCTCATAACAGTGTCGATGCGAGCCGAATCCGCATTGCATCGTGTGTCGGGGTCGTACAGCCAACGGCCTCGAAGTAAATTTCGAGGGTCGCAATGAATCGATGGACGTCGGTGTCTCTCGCATTCGAATTGAACGTCTCTGGTAGCCTCGGACGTGCCGCCTCAAGATTCATTGTAGCCACTGCCGCTGCTGCTGGGTGAAGTGTCGGTGTCGCCGCTGCTGCTTCTGCTGTCGCTGCTGCATTCGCTGCCGCTGTGGCGACTGCCGACTGATTCGCGAGAAGCTCCTCTATTCGTTGGAGTGCCGCTCGCGTCTGGTCCAAGTCGGTGTGTAATTCCGTAATTTTCGTACGGAATTATCATCATTTTCCTCCATTTGGCGATTTACAGGAAGTTTTGCGACAAAAATAATCAAATTCTAGGCGCTTGTCATCTTACTGTGAGTCGAATCGACTGTAGAAATGACGAGCGCGGATTCTTGTAGGTCGCGTAATTCTTCCCCATTCGAAATTCGCGTCCGATCTCGGCCGTTGAGAAGAAATTCGATCCGACGTTCCAAATTCAAATGTATTTGGGCGAAATTCTCAGGGCCGTTGAGATTCAATTCGATCTGACGGTCGAAATTCCAACATTTTCGCCACTCGACCTGAGGCGTGTTCGAAAATTGACTCGAGGGGGACGTTAGAAAATAGCGCGGAACAGGTTTACATACCGAAATCGGCGCTTTCCGTTGTCGCCCCCGCGGTTTTAAAAGCTAGGATTTAGCGGTAGAATATCTTCGCGTGCAAACAAGCTCTGATTTCCAAGTGTGAGGATCTAGGGTCTAGCTCAGGAAAGAGAATTGTAATTGAATTAATTGAATTGAATGATCACCTGGGTACAACACGAGGCTATATATAGGCTCGACACAAGGCCCCGTAACCAGGTTTTACGCGAAGGTTCCGCGGGTCGCGAAGCGTCCCGAACAGATCCTTACCGAATTCGGTAGAAGGCACTTCGGTGGCAAACGAAAAGCCAGAATTCTGTGCACGCAACCTAGCTCGGTGCTATAACTATAATAAAATATAGGAAAGCACCTAGCCTAGGAAATCAAGCAATTCATGCATGCATAAAATATACCCAAGCTAGAAATAGCATAATAAAGTCTAGGCAAGCAAGCATAGCTGGCATAAGCCGTCGTACTCTCACACGGAGGGTCCTCCCCCGAACTCCCGCGTCTGCGCCTCTGCTGCCAGCGCGCCATGCTGCCGTGAGCCCCGCGTGCGCTTTGCTGCTCACGTGCCCTGCGTGCCCTGCAGCCCGAGCGCGCCTGCTGCCCGCGTCGCCTGCTTCCCGCATGCGCCTCTGCTGCCAGCGCGCTCTGCTGCCCTATGCCCCGTGTGCGCCTTGCTGCCCGCGCGCCCTACAGCCTGCGCGCTCTGTACTATGCGTCGTCTGCTGCCCGCGCGCGCTCTGCTGACAACGCGCCCTGCCCGCGCTGCCCTGCAGCCCCGCGCGCCCTGCTGCGCCCTGTGCACCCTGCAGCCCGCGCGCTGCCCTGCCCACACTGCCTTGCAGCTTGCGGGCATGCGCTGCCCGCGCCCCGTGCGCCTTGCCGCCCCCCTCGTGCCCTTCTGCCCACGCCCCACGCGCCTTGCTGCCCGCGCCTCGCGCGCCCTCCTACTCGCGCGCTGCCTTAGCCGCCCGTGCCCTGCCCTAGCCGCCCGCGCATTGACCTAGCCACTACAGCTGCCACAGTCGCAGCACCTCCCACTACAACAACTGCCGCCATCTCTGCTGTTGAATTCCACTTCCTGTCATGGCCACACCGCCGTTCTTAGCGGTTGACGCAGATATACGCCCGTACTGGTTAAGGTTGTGGCTTACGTGCATGCGCGTGTGTCTCCGGCGTTTCATTAGAAAGAACATCTCCCTACTCGAGCACACACCAGGGTCACTTCCGGCCCCTACGACTCCCACTGAGCCTGCTGGTGAGGACGTGCAGAGGTGGTACCGGGTGGACAACCTTGCCTATAGACAGTGGACGGAGCGCGACGCTGTCGCACAGCTTGCCGCTCGATCTCTCTTGCCGGTCGACCAGAGGGACTACTTTCGACAAGTGACGTTGGCCCAGATTTTGTTCGACACTGTTGTGAGGCACTACTCCCTCTCTCCTGCCACCCGGCCACTACAGCAGTGGCGTCCGTTGTTAGGGGAGGACCAACCGCTGGTCGAGGAGGGGAGCGTAGGCACCTGTAGGTCTGCTCGTGCAGGTAGTGCCACTAGTGTAGCCGGTGGTTATGGGGGTGGTCAGCACTTCCAGCAGCGTCAGTTGGATACCCTCTCATTGCAGTAGCTTTATGAGTGGGTTTCTCAACGATGCGTCCCTGGTAGTGTAGAGGCAACTATTCTAGGTGCCTGTGAGCTTGCTAGCACATGTGCAGCTCCTATGGAGGCTTTACACACCTTCACGCTTTACTCAGGTGCAACTCCCTGCTTCTTCCGCGACTGCACCACAGTCACACCGTTCACTACACCTGTCCCGGTCACTCTGGCTAACCCCTCTGGGGGTACAGTAGTAGCACGTGCCTCCACCTTTCTCCCGTGTCCGGCAGCCCCTTCCGGCTCACTCATAGGTCTCCACCTCCCCTCGTTCGCTATGAACTCGGTGAGTAACAATGTCCTCCAGGACCAGTTTGTAACTGTCACTATTCCTGGGGGTGAGCTTGTGGCTTTGCATGGACTCACGGACTGGCGCCCACCTCGCCACGTTCACTCGGAGATCCAGGTCTGGCCTGTACACACTGACCACTGAATCTGCACAGGTAGCTGCGTCCGGTCAGGTCGCTGCGTCTCACGCACCCGTCCCTCCTCTAGCACCACCGCCTTGGTCACCCCTCCCTGCCGCGTCTGTGTAGCATGCACTCTCATCTCCTTGTCTCTGGCCTCCCTAGTCCCCCGCCCCCGCTCCCGCGCTTGCTTGCACTGTTGTGCCTTCCCTGCATCGAGGGGCGGCAGCGCACCGCTCCTCACTCCTCTTCGTTTCCTCCGACCACTGCTCCTCTGCAGACTCTCCACATGGACGTGTGGGGCCCCACCTGCGTCCGTGGACACGAACACTACTTTCTGCTGGTTGTTGACAACAACAGGCGCTACACCACGGTCTTCCCCTTGCAGAGCAAGGCGGATGTCCGCAGTGTTTTGATCCCCTAGATCTGCACTATTCGTTGCCAGTTGAGCGCACGGTTTCAGCAGGTTCTTCAAGTCCTACGACTGCACTCTGACAGAGGCGATGAGTTTTCCTTCCGCCTCCTTGAAGACTTTTGTCGTGGAGAGGGCATCACCCAGTCATTCACGCTTCCGGCCTCTCCACAACAGGGATTGCTGAGCGTCGCATTGGCTTGATCATGGTGGTTGCTCGCACCTCCATGGGTTGCTCCCTATTTTTTGTGGTTGTTTGCAGTCCGATACGCCACGCATCAGCTCAACCTTTAGCCCCGTATCTCTGTGCTAGAGACCTCGCCTACACTCCGTTGGATGGGGGAGATTGGCGATGCAACCGCGTTTCGGGCCTAGGGCTCACTTGCCCTTATGCGCGATCCTACCGCGGACAAGATCTCTCCTCGCACTTTCCGCTCTTTGGCTTTCCCACCAACGCGACGCCCTGGCAGTTTTACCACCCTGCCTTGCGCTGTGTTCTGTCCCCCCAGGACGTCACCATTGACGATATGGTTTGCTTCTACCGTCTCCACCCCTAGGCGTCTTCTCCTGTCCCCTCACCACCCCTCTTCCTGGTTCCAGGTCCCCCTCCGGTAGACCTCCTCCCCCCACAGGGTCCTGCTCCCTTAGATGTGTCTTAGGTCGACCCACCCCCCTCGTTGAGCCTTTGGAGGTCTCCTTTGTCACCTCTGGCCCAGCTGAGGGGGGTGAACCCGTTGCTAACGACACAGCGGCCACTCGCCGCTCCCCACGCTTGGAGACCTATCCTGGTTTTCCACCTCGGCCATCTTTGCCGCCTCCGCAGCCTGTCGCTGTGGACTCCAGTCCTGCTGGGGGTGGTGCCACTGGGGGTGCTAACTCTGAGAGTGCTGGTCCTAGGGGTGTTGACTCTGGAGGTGTTGGTTCTGGGGGTGTTGAGTCTAGGGGTGATGCTTTTGGGGGTGTTGCGCATCCTAGTGGTGGTGGAGTCGTGGGTGCGCCTGCTGGAGGTTCTGGCGTTGGAAAGCAGTGGCAGGGTTGTTGATAGGAGACTCTCTTGCTGCAGTAGCTTCGCGAGTGGGTTATATGGCGAGGTCACTATGGTTGGGGTACTGGTGCTGGAGGTACTGGAGCTAGAGGTGCTGGAGGTACTCGAGCTATTGGTACTAGAGTTGTTGGAGCTGGAGGTACTGGAGGTACTGGATCTGCTAGTGCTGGAGGTGCAAGAGCTGGAGGTACTCGAGGAGCTGGAGGTACTCGAGGAGCTGGAGCTGGAGGTGCTAGAGTTACTGGAGCTGATGGTACTGGAGGTGCTAAAGCTGGAGGGTGCTGAAGGTGGAGTTGATGGAGCTATTGGAGCTGCTCTGAGATGATACGTTTGACGAATAGTTGTGCCATTTCCTCCGTGTGTGCGGTTGTATGCGTCGGAATGAAGTGTCCCATCTTTGAGAATTTGTCGATGACGACCAAGATGGCGTCATGCCCCGCTATGGTAGGTGGTAACCCAGTGATGAAGTCCAAGCTGACCACTTGCCAAGGCTGTTTTGGGACGGACCAAGGCTGAAGAAGTCCTGATTTCTTCTGCTTACTACTCTTCATCTGCTGGCATGTGTCGCACGAAGTGACGAACTTCTGCACGTTGTTTGCCATGTGAGGCCAGTAGTAGACTTTCGCAATCCCGGCAAGAGTAGTGTTATTCCCGAAGTGTCCAGCGTAGAGCACGTCATGGAATTCTTTGAGAAGCAACTGCCGAAGAGGTGGGTAGCTGGGTACCCATATCTTTGTTGTTCCTTTGCATAGTGCGATGTCGTGGTCCCAATGCAACAGTTTCTTCTTCTCTGCCAAGGGAATCTCGGGGTCGATGGTATCCCTTGAATAGCGGATTCATCCCCTCAATCTCTATGGCGGCAACGTTTCTAGGTCGGCTCAGTGTGTCTGCCTTATTCTTGTGTCCCGGCTTGTGTCAAACTTATATGCTATAGTCTGTGTAGGCTGTAGTGGGGTAGACAATATGGGGTACAACACTTTTAGGTTTTCCTACTTGTACCCACCTGTTTGCCAGTGCATTCATTCCTCATTTCTTCACATGGTATAGAGCAGGTTCCCTAGTGGGAACGCTTCCTAGGGCCCACCACTGAAAATCGAAAAAAAAAAAAATCTCTGACCGGAGCGCGAGTCGCCCCTGCCCGAGGCGCGCCCTGTGGGCCGCCCTCTCGTCGCGTCCCCTGCCCTTAGTGGCCCATCGCGCCCTCCTAGAGGCCCCTCTCACGGCCCCTCGCGCCACCCCTAGCAGCCCCGTCGCCACCCTTCGCGGCCCGTCGCCGCCCCTCGCGGCCCCGTCGCCACCCCTAGCGGCCCCATCGCCACCCTTCGCGGCCCCGTCGCCGCCCCTAGCGGCCCCGTTGCCGCCCCTCGCGGCTCCGTTTCCGCCCCTCGCGACCCCGTTGCCGCCCGTTACGGCCCCGTCGCCGCCCTTCGCAGCCCCGTCGCCGCCCCTAGCGGCTCCGTCGCCGCCCCTCTCGGCCCCGTCGCCGCCCGTTGCGGCCCCGTCGCCGCCCGTTGCGGCCCCGTCGCCGCCCTTCGCGGCCCCGTCGCCGCCCGTTGCGGCCCCGTCGCCGCCCTTCGCGGCCCCGTCGCTGCACTTTGCGGCCCCATCGACGCCCGTTGCGGCCCCGTCGCCGCCCTTCGCGGCCCCGTCGCCGCCCGTTGCGGCCCCGTCCCCGCTCTTCTCGGCCCCTCGCGGCCCCTTCGCGGCCCCGTCGCCGCCCTACGCGGACCCTCCCCGGTCCCAGCAGCAGCAGCCGCCACCTCTACCGCTGCAGCCACCGCCGCTGCCGACTGCAGCTGCCTCTGCTGCCGACCGCTACCGTTGCAGCCGCCGCCGCCGCCGCAGCCGAGACAGCAACCGCCGCAGCTGCCACAGCCGCTGTCGTGGCCGCCGCCGCCACTGTTGCGGGCGCGCCTCGGCCCTGTCCCTGCAGGCGCGCCTCGGCCATGCCTCACCACCTGCGGGCCTCTACCTACCCGCCCTGGTAAGAGCACTCCTGAGCAGCGCCTCTTCCACCGCCCTGCTCCTACTGCTAGCCTGCTGCTGCCACTGCTGCCATGGCTGCTCCTAATGTTCTCACTTTTGATGCTGAGGGTCGAGCTGTCGACTTTGAGGTCTGGTTGATGACCTACAGCTTTCCCTACAGTGTGATAGGACAGATGGTGTCTCCCTGTTCGATCTCACGTCTGGCGCCTCTCGTGCCCCTCCTGCCGATGCTGACAGCACTGTTCGCTCCCAGTGGGCCACACGTGATGCTGCTGCCCGTCTTGCTGTTCGTAGTCACTTGTCGTAGTCTGAGCGCGCGCACTTTGGTCAGTATAAGAGCGCTAAGACCCTGTACGACGCTGTAGTTGCACACTACTCTTCCCCTGCTACTGCTGCTCTTAGTCGCCTCATGCTGCCGTACCGGTTCCCTGACCTCGCCGCCTTTTCCACAGTCGCTGACCTAGTTACGCACCTTCGCACTAGTGACACTCGCTACCACGCTGCGCTCCCTGCTGAGTTCTACGCCAAGAACCCCCCCCCCATGTACATCACCCTCTACAACCTAGTCACCCGGCTCCCTGACTCCCTTCGCTCGGTCAGGGACCACTTCCTCTCAGTTTGCCCCACCACACTCACCGTTGACCTCCTCGAGGAGCGCCTCCTGGCAACTGAGAAGAGCATAGTCGCTGTAGGAGCCTCTCGTGGTGACCCTCGTACTCCCTTCTTTGAGGGGTGTTCCCCCTCCCCCCTCCTGGCCTCTTTGGCCTCTGCTGCTGCGGCCAACCTCGTTGGCCTCGAGTCGGTTGGAGCTGCGTCTGCCCCTGGCGGGAGACGCCGCACCGGCAAGGGCAAGGGAGGCAAGTGTGCTCGAGGAGCTGGCGGGGGCGGTGGAGGCGACGGTGGAGGCAGGTGGAGGGGGTAGGGGTGGTGGTGGGGGTGGTGGCGAGGGTGGGGGCGTCGGTGGCGGCAGTGGAGGCGGAGGAGGCGGCGGCGGTGGTGGTGGGAGCGGAGGAGGCGGAGGTGGCGGCGGCGATGGAGGTGGCGGCGGCAGCGGTGGGACTGGTCGGGGCGGCTCTGCGCAGAGGGGCGGCTCCGGTGGTGGTCAGCGCCAGTAGCAGCAGCGC